GGCTGCGTAATTTGAACTATTACTTGGAAAACATAATAGGGCCGGTTTAAAATTACTGCCATGTATTTATCTGTATGTGACTATGAAACATGGTGTACAATTTGCACAGCGCGTTAACGAACAGCCGCTTATGGGAGCGAGCCGTGCCAAGCTCAAATAAACTTAAAAAATAGATGCATTAACCAGAATCCACCAGGATATTTATGGCTGGGTTGGGAGAATTCCTTTTAATTTCTAGAATCGGGTTTTCTGTCTTTCAAAGCAAACTTTCTTTTAACTGCTTTAAGAGAGGGGGTCTTGGGGATGCCGTGCTGAGAACACCGCGTCTCTGTGGCTGCATGGACCCCAGGAGGACACTGAGCACAGACAGCAGTGACAGCGGCTGTGATATGGGACACTGCTCCTTTAGGGGAAGAAAAAACAGAGGGAGAAGACAATGCTGATCACTCATAGCCACCGTTTGCTCAGGGTCATTTGTCCTTTACAGGAGAACTCGGTGCTGCTGTAAATGAAAGCCTGCGCCTTTTGTGCTCGTTATACCTGAGCTTTGATTCTGGCTTTGATCGCTTCACCCAAAGTCATTCAAAGCAGACTGACTTATCTCGGCGTCCCGTTGGGGACTGTGCACAGCACTGGGGTGGATGGGGGGAGAGCCCAGAGTCCCCCCAGCTGGGCATCAGCCCCACAGGGACCAGAGCTGGGGCACAGCTGCTCCTTGGAGCCCCAAAACATGGCAAACCCACAGCATTCAACAGCAATACCCAAATGGGAACGAAGGCTTGCATGCAAGATAAAGGTGTATCTTGAGAAGAAATAACAATAATAACAACAAAAACTATCCTCCTTCTCAACAAGAAGAAACACTCAGCACTTTTCACATTTCCATTCGCCTCTAACCGAGCCTGATAAATTTTCCATTTGCCGACATTTGCGGAGACAAGCGCTGCGAGCAAATAAATAAATAAGCAAGAAACGCATTGCTTTCATCTCCAGAAACGAGCACTTGTGAGGCACAACTCTGTGCACAGTGCTTTCTGGCTGCAGCAGAAGAACACCACTGCGGGGTTCTGCGTGCTCACATGGGAGCCAAGGAGCATTAACCTCACCCTGCGCTGCCCTGTGCTCAGCTCTGGGCTCCAAAAGAAGGGAAGAAACCCCCGTTTTCCCCTTCCTTTTCTCAGATTGTCACACTTGGAGTATTTTCCAGAGGAAAAAGCGTTTCTCAGATCCAAAAGCCTTCAGCGTTTTCCCCAGTGCTGTTTCACGGCTTCAATGGAGGTGCAGTGATTTCACAGCCACAGCTGACAGAGGTGGGCAAACAACCACTGCCACCCCGCTCCCTCCATAGAAATAATCACAAACACTTCCCTGCAGCCCTGAGATTCTCCACTCCCGAATTTTGAAATTCTTTTGCTTTATCTAATCCACCGGGGCGGCAAGATGGGATTTTCGGGCACGAATTATAAAGGCCGTAAAAGCAAATATCTTCAGGCACTCAGTGCAAAATTTTACGCACCAAGAAGGGGGGAACCCAGCCTGAGCTGCAGCTCACCCAAACCCGGTCTGGTGTTCAATCACAGCGTTGCCTGCAGCTCAGCCCAGAGCAGCTGTGCATTACTGGGACAGATTTCTAAGCATTGAAAACAAGAATGTAAACGCACCACGTCAAGCAATTCCGAGCTACGTCTGCAAAATGAATCGATAATTTCACCACCAATTTGCTAAAGCCCTTCGTTCGGCACAATGACCTCCTGATGAGGACACTCCAAGCCCTGCCCGAGAAATGCTTGGGAAATTGAAAGATCAGTGAGTGCTGTGCCAAAGGGCAGCGAGTGCCACCAGGCAGGGCTGTGCCACCCACCCGTGGCCTGGAGCTGTGTTGTTCCTCTCCAGCTGCAGCTTTTGCAATGGAGAAGAAATATTCCTCGCTTTGCTCGGTAACGGAGCAAAAACACTCATTGAGGAGCTGTTCTGTGCAGGGTGGGGTGCTGCAGAACCCCCATTTTTAATAAAGCGTCGTTGCTGAGGAGGGAGAGGCTCTTATAGGGGAGAGCGATAATTACACTGCAATTAAGTGCAGCTGAAAGCCGCCCCAAAACACAGCAGCAGCCCCCCAGGCCGCTTCCATGGCACAACCCTATCTGGCACTGCGTTTTGTGCCATCAAGCAGTGGGCAATGCAGTTCTGTTATCAACACAAACAGACACTGGTGCATCCCGGCTCCCTGTTCTTAGGGACTGCCACTAAAACCCAAAGCTTGCAGAGGGGCCAGGCGACATCAACACCAGCCCTCTGAGGTCAAAAGAGCCAGGTGACAACACCACCCGCCCCACAACATCGGTGCCCATCACACCAGCAGGCTTTGGGCAGCAGCAACCTTGGCACAGCAAAGTAGATGAAGCTCCCCCCCCAAAAAAACCACCTGCAAAACAAAGCTCATTTTGGAGCAAAAGCAAAACCCAACTGCTCTGTTGCACATCATTACTATGGGGCATTTGTATGGCTGGAGAGAAACGCTCCCTGCGCACCCACACGGCTGCTGCTGTTCCCTTTGCTGCTGTCTCTTTCTCTTCCCAGAGCCTTGAAGGGATCGTTGCCTAAAATACAATGATTTGGTCGAGCACGAGGGAGGAAAATCATAGAATGAGGTCCATAATCCGTGGGCTCCTTGCTAAAAATCCTTCCTGACTTCCGAGCTCACCGCTTATGATAAAACAATGTAAATTCTACAAAAAGAAAAGGGAACTTCCCTCCTGACCTACGAAGGGCATCCACAAGCTCACAAGGCGCCCGTGATTAACCAGGGTGCCCCTATTGCCCAAAAAGCAGGAATCAAAAACAATCATTCCAAAATGATAAAATTACATACGATAACAGAACTGGGAAGCTCCTTTACGTTTCACTTTTGCTTATAGCTCAAACTTGTCGAACTGCTTTCTTTTGTTAAAGCAGATCCTTTGGTAACGAAAAGGCGGCGGCGCTTCCAGCAGACGGACTTTCGGAACAAGAAATGCTCTCATTCTTACGCTTTTCACTCCATCAAAGCTGCTCTGGTATTTATCAGCAGCAGAGCTGCTAATTAATCTGTTGTCACCGCGTTTTTCCCCTTCAGGTACGCTGCTGCTTGGGGTTTTGCTGCCCAGCTCCAGCTGTGGGCTCAGTGCAGTGCCCTTCCCGAGCAATCCGGGATGCTCCCATCACAAACACACACAGCAAAGGAGACCTGCAGGGCTCAGCTCCGCTCACACACTGACCGAGAGCTGAAATCACCAAAGGAAAAGATTTCTAAATCCTCCCCTTGAACGTCTGCTATGAATTTAATTTTGTAAAATAACGACATAAAACTCAGCACATCTTCTCTGGGACACAAAGTAACGACATGGAGTGCATGACACGGTCTTCTGTGCAGCAGAGAAGTGTAAGAAACCCCAAAAGCTCCCAAAGGAATCCCAAACCCAGCACCCGCGCTCCGTCCTTGCTCTTGCAGACAAAGGTCTGGAAATAGGACAGCACTTACAGGACAGCACTTACAGGACAGCACTTACAGGACAGCACTTACCTTCCAGCTCCCCCACAGATAACTACTCCCCCACAGTTTGCAAGCAAAAAAGTCTCAGGGCAAGATAGCAAAAGACAAGCAGGGTGCACTGGGGAGATTGCTTGCAGATGCGTTTATTCAGAGCTCCTTCCCTCGCTGCCTTTTTGCTTTTTTTTTTTAAACTTCTTTTTCACGTGCTATTTCCAGCGCTTCGAAAATCCCCTTACGAACAGGGAAGAGAGATGCGCACCGGCTGAGCCGGATCCTGCCCTGAAGGACAAAAGCTGCCAATGGCAGCGGCGTTCTCGAAGCCCCCAGCCTTAAGGATCGGCCTGACACCAACAACCGCGTGGGGTGCGCGGAGAGCCACCGCTTCCCCGAGCGGGTCGGACGGAGGAGGGCAGCTCCTGCAGCTCCCAGCGCCCATCTGCGCTGCAGCGCATCGCCACCCCCTCGCTGACACCCAGCGAGGGGAGTCCTGCACTGAGCTCCATCCAGGTAACAGCTTCTCTCCCCCTCCAGCATCCCCTAATAAGTTTACTCGCGTGTCGCATGATTCCACCGTAAGGGAACATCGTTGTATTTCAACACATAACCCTGCAACAGAGACACAAGCCGAAGAGCTCCGGCGCTTATTTGGTCACTTTTTGCTGTTTAGTTCCGATGATCAGAGTTGGACAACTTAGCAAAACTCTGCGGGTCGATGAGCCCCTTCGGCTCCCGAATGCCCGCAACAGAACGGAGCCGCTCCGTGGGGAACGGGTGGAAAGAGGAGAACGTTATGGGGCAATCAATAAATAAAATAAAAATTGACTTTAAACGCTGAATTAGAGTATTAGGGGAAAAAAAAAAAAAAAAAGGATTGGGAGACTTTTAATAATTAAAAAAAAAAAAGGACTTCGGGCGCTCCCCGCACCCGCCGCTGTCCCACGCACGGCAGCAGCGGAGGCGGCGCCGCGCTCGGTTCGCGCAGCCCCCCCCCCCCCCCCCCCCGCGGGGCGCGCAGCGCTCCCCGCCCCCGCGCGGCCCCGCGCGCCGTTCCTGGGCTTTTGGCGCCCCCTCCGGACGGCGGCGCGCACCGCCCGCGGCTCCGCTCCCCCACGCTGCGGGCAGAGCTCGGACCGCTCCGCGCCGATCCGCGGGAACCCCTCCGGCACGCAGCGCACGGAGCTCGGCGCCCGGGAAGCCCGAATCCGCCGCGGGGCGGAGCGAAACGAAGCTGAACGGCTCCCACCGCCCCGCGCCCCACCCCGGCGCTCCCGCAAAACTTCGCGCGGCCGCCCCCCTGCGCGGCTCTGCGCGGAGTTGCGCGCCCGCCGGCCCCGCCCCTCGGCGGCGGCTCGACCAATCGCGTGCGCGCCAGCCCCCGGGGGCCGGCCGCCTATTGGCGGAGCGCTGCCGAGCCGAAATCGCCACGGAGAGTATTTATTCCCGCGGCGCGGAGCGGGCCGCAGAGCCGCGCTGCAGAGCCGCGGGGCGCGCCGGGCCCCACGCCGCCATCCACGGCCCCGCGCTTTTCTCTCCCTCGGCTTGCAAAAAGTTCGCCGCTCTTCTGATTTTTTTTGGCTTGGAGGAGTTGGGGAAGAGAAAGAGAACGTTAAAAACTTTTGCAAACTTTTCCAGCTTCTTCCCTCCTCTCGCAGCCGGGCTGCGCGCTGGTGGAGACTCCGTCTCTCCCCGTTTTGCTTTTTGTTTTTAACCCTTCCCCGCCCCTCAACCGCCCGGTTATTCTTTTCTTTCCATTTTTTTCCTCCCCTGATCCCCCTTCTGCCGCTTTCTCGCATGAATCTCCTAGACCCCTTCATGAAAATGACAGAAGAACAGGACAAATGCATCTCCGACGCCCCCAGCCCCACCATGTCGGATGATTCTGCCGGGTCTCCCTGCCCCTCCGGATCCGGCTCGGACACGGAGAACACCCGACCCCAAGAGAACACCTTCCCCAAAGGCGACCCGGACCTGAAGAAGGAGAACGACGAGGACAAATTCCCCGTGTGCATCCGCGAGGCTGTGAGCCAGGTGCTCAAGGGCTACGATTGGACCCTGGTGCCCATGCCCGTGCGGGTGAACGGATCCAGCAAGAACAAACCCCACGTGAAGCGTCCCATGAACGCCTTCATGGTGTGGGCCCAGGCGGCTCGAAGGAAGCTGGCTGACCAGTACCCTCATCTGCACAACGCCGAGCTCAGCAAGACGCTGGGCAAGCTGTGGAGGTGAGCGGGGGCTGGGAGCGATGCCCTGCGGTGGGTGGGGGGATGCTGGAATGGGGATGCAGCCTGTAGAGTTTGCTCCGGTTGTGACAGCGTGAGGAAGAGAGAGAAAAAGGAGGGAGAGGATGGTGGGAAGCTTGGAAAAGTTGCTGCAAAGTTTTGCATGCACTGGCAAAGTTGTTCGGCAGAGTGTGAGAGGAAAGCAGGGAATGGAGAGGGGGAAAAGCAGGGCAAAGAGAGTCCCGGGGCTGCCCTCTGCTCCTGCAAAGGTTTTATTCTGACTTATCCGTGCCCTGTGCGTGCTGCAGCCAGGGGAGCACTTGGTGATGTGCAGGGAAAGCGATGGCCTAGATTGCATCAGCTCTGTGCAGAGCGAGGGGAGGGGGTGAAAGCTGCCAACCCCAGGGGGGTGCCCAGGGGTGGCTGGGTGCCCTCCGCCTTCCAAAATAAGGCAGGGAGGGGTGAAAACCAGAAAGCAAGTGAGTCACCTGGCTGCCAATGAGTGTGACTGCAGAAAGGAGGAGCGGAGGGGAATCCTAAATTCATAGCAGGAGGAGAAAGTGGTGAGCAACTCTGGTCCTGGCAGCAGGCACAAGAGCCGTCACCCAGAGTGCCCAGGGATGGGGGGGGTGGGGGAGCATTGGCGCTGTCACACCTCTCGTTTGGTCATTGAAATGTGGGGTGACAACCAGTATCTGCCCCGAACTGGGGGTTCAGTGCTGGGGGCAGGTTGCATCACTGTTTGTAGGGACTGGGAGAGGTGTGGGGCTGATGTTAATACCAGCGTGGAGGGAAACACTTGCCGTGAGCTGCAACTGACCCCTCACTGTCTGTCCCCCAACCCCCTCCTTCCCCGTCCTCCTCAGGCTGCTGAACGAGAGCGAGAAGCGTCCCTTTGTGGAGGAGGCTGAGCGGCTGCGGGTACAGCACAAGAAGGACCACCCTGACTACAAGTACCAACCACGCAGGAGGAAGTCAGTGAAGAACGGGCAGTCGGAGCAGGAGGAGGGCTCCGAGCAGACCCACATCTCCCCCAACGCCATCTTCAAAGCGCTGCAGGCAGACTCCCCACAATCATCCTCCAGCATCAGCGAGGTGCACTCCCCCGGGGAGCATTCGGGTAGGTGTCACATCCCACACCCAGCTCTGGGGTCAGCATAGCAGGCTGAGATCGGGGGCGGGTATAGGGGGAATAAGGAAAGTAAGGGGAAATAAAGAAAGTAAGGGGAAATACGGAGCCACGAGCACAGTGAGAAGGGGCCCACCAGGCTTGCCCATAGCAGTGCCACAAGTGCTGACCCATGCATGCCAGCCCCTGGTGCCGCTTCCACCCTGCTCTGCCCATGAGAAACGCGAAGCTGTGATTCTTTTTTCTTTACTTGCTGCAACAGATGGGCACCCATAGCACCAGCATTCTCATTCCTTGCACCTGAAGATATTTGAATTCCCTAATGCATCTGCCCACCCCCCCAAGCCTTAGGGATGAGGTTAACCATTAACACCATTATCACGTTGGGCGCGAGGTGCCCGGTGCGATCCCTCTGTCACACTCACACTCTCTCCTTCCCTTGCAGGGCAGTCACAGGGTCCCCCCACGCCCCCCACCACCCCAAAGACGGACACTCAGCAGCCGGGCAAGCAGGACCTGAAGCGCGAGGGCCGCCCTTTGGCAGAAGGCGGCCGCCAACCTCCCCACATCGATTTCCGAGACGTGGACATCGGCGAGCTCAGCAGCGACGTCATCTCCAACATCGAAACCTTCGACGTCAATGAGTTCGACCAATATCTGCCCCCCAACGGCCACCCGGGGGTCCCGGCCACCCACGGCCAGGTGACCACCTACAGCGGTACCTACGGCATCAGCAGCTCGGCCAGCTCTCCAGCAGGCGCAGGGCACGCCTGGATGGCCAAGCAACAGCCACAACCCCCGCAGCCCCCAGCACAGCCCCCGGCGCAGCACGCACTGCCAGCACTGAGCGGTGAGCAGGGCCCGGCACAGCAGCGGCCGCACATCAAAACAGAGCAGCTGAGCCCCAGTCACTACAGCGAGCAGCAGCAGCACTCCCCGCAGCAACAACAGCAGCAGCAGCAGCAACAACAGCAGCTGGGTTACGGCTCCTTCAACCTGCAGCACTACGGCTCCTCGTATCCCCCCATCACCCGCTCGCAGTACGATTACACCGAGCACCAGAACTCCGGCTCCTACTACAGCCACGCCGCCGGGCAGAGCGGAGGGCTCTACTCCACCTTCACCTACATGAACCCCACGCAGCGTCCCATGTACACCCCCATAGCAGACACGTCGGGGGTGCCCTCCATCCCGCAGACCCACAGCCCACAGCACTGGGAACAGCCCGTCTACACGCAGCTCACCCGGCCTTAAAGCCACGTGAAGGCGAATAAATAAATAAACCAACCAACCAATCAGAAAGGAAAGGAGAATAAAGAAAGAAAAAAAAAAAAAGAAAGAAAGAAAGAAAGAAAAAAAAAAGAAAGGAAAAAGAATAAAAGAAGGCAGTGAAAGCAGAGGACTTCCGGCAGACTTTTCCTTTCTTGCAAATCAAAATGATTTAAGAGGAAAAAAAAAAAAAAAAGTTAAAAAAATAAAATATGCTCGAGTTCAAGCTGGGAAATGCCCACAGTGCCCGGAACTCAGTGCCAGCCCCAAAGGACCCAATGCATGGGCATGGGCTGGAGGTGTCCTCTGTTTGCTGGACTTTGGTTACGAGTTGGGTTTCTTGAGGGTTTTTTTTTTGTTGCTTTTTTTTAGCAGTAATTAAAAAA